ACAGATTATCGCTCTGTGATGACAGAACTTTAAAAGCTAAAACACTTACCAGGCCATTATCGCCTTTGGCCCATGATTGTGAACAAGTGGCGTGGTTTCATCACTTGCGATCATGAACAAGGAATGATCAGTTTTTAGTGGACAGAATCTGGTCTTTACAGAACGGTGGCTCTTCAATCTGTGCTCTTTCAAGTTTCAACCCCTCGCGCATAACCTTTTTGCTTTGATTTACCATCTAAGCAGCGTATTAACCAAATTCAATTAATATAATTGATGTTAATGATGAAGTTAATTGGTATATATAGGTATATACATGTGTGTGTTTTTAATACATGGAGTTACATCTTTTTATACTCCATTTACATCTTAATGTGCACAAGTTACATCTTCTAATGAGTGAGTTACATTTGGACATGTCTCAAACAAGTTACATTTCCTTTAACACAAGTTACATATGTCATGACATGAGTTACATCACAAAATAAACCTTTACTTTCCTATTCTATTTATTGTTTACTTGTTTGAATGTTTAGCAATTCACAATTCTTCTTTATTATCATGTAGCTGTTATACAAGCATGCAGTGGAGATTCCGAACACATCCAGTATAAGTTGTTTTAGTAGTTTGATTTAGTATATTTCTCTCTTCATTTAATAGGAGCAGGATAAAGCTTACTTTCATAGGAATGAAAACTTAGAGCCACAAATAGGAAAGAGGAAGACAGGATATGGTCAATGGGTTACTACAAGAGTGGCCTCAGGTTATGAGTGCATTTGATCTGCATTCTTTTACATTTAAGTATGGAACTATGTGTATATGATTAGTCTTTCCCTTTCAAGGAAATATATATTCCTTAAGTCTACTTACTGGTGTGTGAGTATGGTACCGTAGCCTCACTTTATTCTTTTTATTGCAGACCTGTGAACTTATTGTTTTAATGTTGTGATTTTTATTTATTTACCTTTATGATGGTCAGGCTCGATTTCCATCTGGTACAACTCTTCTTTGCCTGCCTGCCTTCACTGGGTACCTCTCTCATCACACATCCTTGGCTTTACTATATGTTTCAGAGTGTTATTTTTTTGTTGACATAATTTGAATGTCAAATGTCATGTAACAGCTGTGTATTTGGTAGCCCAATATGCTCGCTATGATATCAGAAGAATGGAGGCGGTAATAGAGCGCCTGCATTGTCTTTTTTTCTTCACATCTATCCCACTTGTTCTTGTTGCACCACATTCCACCATTCTTTGTAACTTTTTTTTATCATACCATTCTTTGTAACTTTGATCATACCATTATAGAAGGGTCTTGATTGAGTAAGGTGCATCTCATCATTTTAATCAACTCAATCACATTCAAAGTAGAAACTTTTATACTTCCTCCCGTCATAAATAAACTTCACACTTTCCTTTTTGGGTAGGTCCAAAATAAACTTCTATTTAATATAAGGTTACCCTTACTTTTTTACACACTTTGCACCCATTTTCTCTCTCCAACTACACTTTATCTACTTTTTGTAGGGATATGATGGGAAAGTCAAAAGCAAAAATTCCACTTTCTTAAAAGCTGTAAAGTCAAAGTGTGAAGTTTATTTATAACCGGAGGGAGTAGATTATTATGAATGACCACTTTTACCCCTTATCTGTTATTCTGTTGTGGATTTTAATAATGATGATTGTAATAATGTAATAATAATAGCAAGAACAACAACAATTTTCAAATTTTCTTCTCAGGAAGTAAAGTTGAAAAAGAAAGCTGAAGAAGAAGCAAAAGCAAAAGAAATGGAAGAAGTGGGGGCAGACATGGAGAAAGAAGAAACATCTGATCCAAAGCTGTTGGAGTTGAAAGCGAGGCTGGAGAAGTTGGAGGAGGCAGTCAAAGGAATAGTGGTTGAATCAAAAAAAGAGTCGCCTGCTGCATTTGGTAGTCAGGATAAACAAACTTCAATAGCCCGAGAGAGAAACGCACAAGGGTCAGCTCACAAGTAGGCACTTTTCTAATGTTGAAATCAATCCAAACAAGAAGGCTAATGGGGAAACACCATCACCTCAAATCGCCACCCAACTCGCTCATATTCTTCAGCCTCTCTGTATTTTTGAACTACATGCAATGCATGCTTAAATTATATTTTCATTTCAGCAAGTCAAATATATGTAGAGGTGATAGTGAAAATAGTTTCCATAAGGCATTATATATTATACGAAGTACGTTTTCTGGTCAAGTATCAAGATTCATGGACTTGTGATAATGTGCATCACCAAATTTGAAAATGTTCATCTTTTCATCCATCTCTGTGACTGAGCAATATATTCTCCTTTCTAGGGCTCTCCGGCCTCTCCCCATACATTACATTTATTACCATATTTGCCACTTTCCCTGGGTTTACCGACTTGAATTGGTTCTTGCTCTAAGATACATATAAACACATCTTCCACTTAAATCTCCTCTGGAGGATAGAGGTGTAAATGGTTTGAGAACTGATCAATTTTTCACCCGGCTATGAAATTGGATATTGACGATCCAAATCAAGAATCAGACCGAAACAAGTTCAAACCCATACTTGTTAGTTGTTACAGATATGTGGATCGTAACAAGTATGTATAAATAGTACTACCTCCGTCCCGTTGGAAGGTTCCCATAGAAAATGACACGATTATTTAGGTGATAATTAAATAAACTACTTCGAGTATATTTTGAGAAATAATTTTAATAGATATACATTATAATGTAGTTAGTATTGATAACTGTGATGTTATAAATGTATTATTTTTAACATTTAATGATTAAGTTTTCACTTAAGATTGTTAATTGTTTCCTAAAATAGAAATGAGAACCTTCTAATGGGACGTCCAAAAAAGGAAAGTGGGAACCTTCTAACGAGACAGAAGGAGTATTATACTTAAGAAGTCTGGTCCAGGTCTCGGTTCAATATTTATCAATAATAGAAAATAGTCAAAATACTACATCCGTCCCTTAATTAAAATCCCAATTTGGCTTTTGAGTCAAACTTTTTTTTTGCTCGAAGAAGGCTTAATTCATAGAAATAACATTCAGTAAGGGTACAAAAGCAGAAAAGAACCACATGTAACCATCCGCCCGTGGCCGAGACTGAGAGTTAACCACCTGTAAAAAAGCAGTATAAATCGCTAGACCAAAATTGGGCAACTTAAAGCCAATGACGGTTACCACAGACTTTCCATCCCCCAAACTTAATGCAAGAGTCTTACAGCATAAAATAAAATAACAACAAAACACAAACGTCTTAACTTGGAAATTAAAATGCAGAAAAGGTAAATCATAAGCAAACTCCAAAACGCGTCGATCAACCCTTGGAGGTTGTTCTAGGGGAGGCCTGACCCTCGCAACAATCGTTGATGCACCAATCAGGGGGAGACCAATCAGTTTCTCCACGTTGTCCGTACCCTGCACTCCTCGGTTCTCCTCATCCGCGACACATTGATCGCCAATCCCCTGCTTACCAATACCAGCCATCTCCATCTGCAATCGTCCTCCTTCGATCTCGATGTCCAAGCCCTACAGAGAGGGAAAGCACTGGACCCAAACGCCACAAAAGGTCGTCGCCGAAAAATCAGACTAGGAAAATCCTAGGAGACGACCGTCTTTTCTCACCCCTCTTTCTTGACCCTAGGAGATGACCAAGCCCTGCGGCCGAGAGTCACACCAAAGGAGCCTGCTGCACCAGAGAAAGAACGCTCCGGACGCCGTACCTTGGAAGGCACCGCCGAAAAAAAAACGCCGGACACCATACCTTGGAAGGCACCTTCGGAAAACAAAAGACTACCCTAGGCGGCCGTCGGCAACCCTAGGGAGAAAAAGTGGCTTTTGAGTCAAACTTGTTAAACTTTGATCGTTAATTACTCAAAATTAATAATATTTAATCCCAAATATTTATTTGATGTGCTTCATTGTAAATTTGTAATATGTATTATTCAAATGTCAATTTATTATAGATTATATAGATATATATTTATAGATAATTATAGTCAAAAACCCGTCTAGTAGACCGCAAAGTCAAACTGGAACTTTTTTTTGGAACTTTAATTGTGGGATGGAGGGAGTAGTATATACTCCGTATATTGTATTATGTATAAAATTATAATTATATAACAAAACGCATGCCCCAAGGTGCCTAGGTTTAAGCAAAATGCAAATCGTGAAAAGATTTATTGTAAATTTCCTATAGTTGTTAGTAAATATTTAAATATAATTATTCTTTTTCATTTTCCAACAAAAATAAGTTTCTCAAGTTATAAAAAAATACAAGTACGTATTATATAAAACTCGATTGAAAAAAGGTTAAATGATAAATTAATAGATGAAAAAAGTAATATGATAACTCTGATTTCCACTACTTGATTGCTATGATAAGAATATCCCATTTCATAATGATTTTTTTAACAATAATAAATGGAGTGAGAGATTGATCCAATTTACCACAAGCCCCCAATCCCCCTCCTCCTGACGCTCTCTGGGGTAAAAAAAACAAAGGAAAAAAAACATTAACGTTAGTGTCTTGACTCTTGAAATTAAAAATAATCATTTCTGTTCTTTTTGAAAAGTGCTACGAGATTCATTCTTTTTTTTTCTTTATTGGAAGAGTAATCTTGACTTCTATATACTTCGTACTTGCATTGTGATAGCTTTATTAATGCACTATTGTTAATCTTTTGCTAGTATGTTATGTTACTGTTATATTCAACTATCTAATATGGGTGCATTGTTATATAATTCCTTGCGCCATTGTCATCGCCTTAAACTACTACTCATCCCCTTTGAAAAAACCAAATCAGAAGTCCTGGTATATATGCATGTTCAAACCCCTAATAAATATTCCAAACTTGCAAGTGCAGCAATGTTTTCCTTTACCCTTTTGCTCAAAGGAATCTCTCCATAGACAATACTTCCGTACAATCTTCTCCTATTAGCACAAAGTATATACATTTGCTTATGAGTTTCACTTCTTTAATCTATTTGTCATTTCTTATGGATTTGGTTTCTTTACCATTTCCTCCTCGCACTAAAATGGCCACCATCTCCAGTTGGTCTGCTTTTCCATCCCAAGAGCAAAAGCCATTTATAGTTCCACTCAAAAAAGGTTCTTATAAATCCATCGGATCTAAACCTGATATAGCTCTTTCTGTTCATACAAACAAGCGGCTATTGCCAGTAGCGTGCAGCAATTCTCATGAAAGTTTAGAGAATGATCAGAGGGCAGTGGAAGCTGTCCTGAAACTTTACATTGCAATCAGACAGAAAAACTTGCATCAACTTTCCGATATAATTGGAGAGGAATGTCGGTGCGTTAGCAATTTCGTTCACACCTTGAGACCATTCCATGGTAAGAAGGTAAGGGGTATTGCTTATCCAGAGAAGGTTTTTCAGCTTGCTTTATACAATGTGATTGTGTTTTAGAACTGAAAGGTTTGCAGCGTGATTGTTTTTCAGAGTCAATTATTTTTTCCCAATTATGGTGCACGAAGATACACTTCTTATCCCTTTAACTTATAAGTCCTCTTTGGTCAGTTTTTGAAAGAAGTTAACCACAAATTTATGCAATTTTCAAAGATAAGTGGCTGAAAGGGCCAAACATGGTACAAAAATCATAACTGTGCACCTACAGTAAAAAGATTGAAACTTTTTCATAAAAACTAAATTTGTCTAAATGTCTAATAGTCCTCAGACGAAAACTGGAAAAAGAATTCTTTAAAAATTCACTGATAGCTATTCAATTTATACATCAAGCAGTCAAATACTGCATTTCCTTTCAGTCCTTTTGATTTAATGAATTACTAGTGATCAGATGTGAAAACTGGGAATTGACGAATCATTGTGGAATCAAAAGTACAAATTATGGACCATGTTTGCCTTAATACTGATAGTGCTTTTTGGCCATTTTCACCTTTTGAGTTTCTAACCATGCATTGAAAGTGGAATAGGTGATATTTGGGGACAAATTTTGGGAATGGCATTTGACCGAAAGCAGAAAACATTTCTTCAGAAATTTGTTTGACATCTACTCAGTTTTTGCAGAAAGTAGTCGATTTCTTCTCTTCGCTGATTAAATCCTTAGGGAGCAACATTGAGTTTGTTGTTCAGCCCTCACTGCATGATGGAATGGATGTTGGGATTTCATGGAAACTAGGTAGCCAATCTTGTTTATGTGAAGGGAGTGTTTGGTTCGCAGAATGTGACAGTACCTAGATATGGTAACATCACAGTCATCTTAGATAGTGTGAGGTTAACCTGGTAATATTTTAGACTTTTCCATGTTTGTCACATTCCGCGAACCAAACAGCTTAAGGTAAATTTCATATTCATGTCATCTTGCATAAGTTATGTGACACTACATGAACAAAAGGGCGTTTTATATTCTTATGTTCCAGAGTGTAGAAAGAGTCATGCTCCTCTGGGAAAAGGTTTTAGCTTCCACATGTGTCATGTCTATCAAGGGAAGGTAATGATAAGGTATAAACACCTCTGACCTCTCCCTATACCGATCCAACTGACGGTCTCATAAGTTTTATGATTATGAATGCTACTACTAAAATATATATATATATATGTACTTCAGGAATGTGGAGATGTTTATGGAGCCACTCTTTCAAATTGAGCCGCTTAGATTGGTAAGCAGTTATTAAATATTTAGCATACTCCGACATTTGACCTCAGAAGTGGTTTTGTGCAGAAAATGATGTCTCTTTTGATGAATGCAAAGGAGAAGATGGATTATCAAGTCAATTTGGGAAGTATAAGAGAGAAGAGGATCATGAGAACACTATGTGCTGTATTACTTGTGATAGTGTTCATATTGTTGCTTGTGAACACTAGATGTACCTTAAGAAATAGAAGAAGGCTTGGAAAATAAAAATGCAAATTCCAGAAAGTTTTGGTCAGAGCTTGGCAATTTACCACTGGGTAGTAAGAGTGTCCTTGCACTGAAAGATACATCAACATCTTCAAGATACACAAGTTGAAGGGAATACAAGAAAGACTTGTATAGGTCATTGAGTCATTCTCAATCGACTTCTGTTTAAACACAGACATAGCTCAAAGCTTTACCAAATCAGTTTTCCTGAATCTTAATGCAGTGCATAAATTTAATCAATGGTGAGTTTTGCCAGAAATTATAGTTGCCAATAATAAATTATACTACGTACTATGTATGTAGAACGTCGATGCTGGAAAAGCTAGACTAGTGTTTTGTGAGATGCAAGAGATTCTTTAACGGGGAAGATAAAGGAGTAAAAAGAAATGGCATGACTCACCAGGTAGAATAAATAAAAAATCTTCAACCTTAAAATTAAAAGAAAATGCAAAGTTTGAATAGAAAAATAGCATTTCAAAGCAAAAAAGAAAGACGTCAGTAAAAAGTAACAATAAGAAAGAAAGAAAGAAAGAAAGAACCTACTTTTTTACAAGACATTACACAAGTCAATTGAAAAGGTTTTCAGAGAAACTACAAATTCTGTTAGCAGATCCTTCTACATAGATGATACACATTTTACATCTACAGACTGGCAACATGATTACGCTAGACATATCTAAAAGCAAATACATTACCATACAGCTTCAGATCATTAGTCATATACTTACTTATCAACTACACAGCTACAGCCCCAATTTCGAGCGATCTGCAAAGCAAAGAAAAAAAAGAAAATTTGATTGATGAGTGTTACGCTTCAATGATGATGATTATGATGATGATGATGATGATGAGTGTTACGCCACTCATCCGACCCCCCCTTACCCCACCGTAGGTGGGAGCCTTTGCGGCACTGGGGTAATGGTGATTATGCTGATGATGATGAGTGTGTTAAGCTGCAATCAAGTTTCTAAATAAAATTCATTGGCAATATCATTTTTGTTTAAATATAACGATTAGTTATTACAGCACCAACAAAAAGGTTTTTTATGACAAAAAGATATACATATGAAAAACTGTGATGGTGTAAGAATCTTATACTGTTGTTTTCTAAAGGTTGATTTATGAAAGTAACAGCTGGCACTTCACTCCTAAATACCTATTCTGCTGTTCACTTGGACTTAGACCAAACCACACTATTTCAGACTTCAGACCAGACCTAAACAAACCAAATTAAACAAACCAAACCAAACATGACATCCATCAAATCTCAATACAATACACCCTAGTTAGCTTTTTTCCGTTTTAAACGCGTTTTAAACACGTACCGTTTTTTTGACCAAAAAACACGTTTAAAAAGGGGGGAAATGTCGGTCCGTTTAAAAAGGGAAAAAACTCCTACTTCCCGTATAAAACGTATTTTCCCCGTATTTTACAAAAAACATAAACATGAATTGACCAATTGAATGAATGCACTAAAGCATTGTTTGCAAATGCTTTTCAAAAGCACTTTTGGGCTTTTTTGACAACAGAAGTCAAAACCGATGTTTGCAGCAGACCACTTCTCCGTTCATTCATCCCAGAAGCTAGAAGCAATTATTAAAATTAATCTTGGTAATTTGGTAATTCATGAGAACTAAGGGGGCATTTATATTGTTCATATTTGTTGTGTCACATTAATGCCCTCCCCTCTTTGCTTCTTGGAGTCTGACATTTTCGCAGGGGAGTTACGTGCGTGGAATCAGGCCACGGATGAAACGAATCAAGTCACAAAGGTGCAATCATAGAGGGGCATTTTTGTACATTAATAAAAACTACATCAATAATCACTTTTTTACCAAACACTCCAACTTCAACACTTTTTTACATAATCACTTTTTTTCCAAACACTATCAACTTTTTTACACAATCACTTTTCCAAACTTCATCAAAAAAAGCACTTTTTTAAAAGCAGAAGCAGTTGCAAACACTCCCCATGATCTCGTGTTTTTGTATTGTTTCAGTGCAATTATTAAATACTAAAATCAATTGCATGATGGCTAAAGCTAGCATCCTGAAATACTAAAACTTACGCAGTAATATACTACAAAATTTCTGATGTTTTTTCAAGCTAGCATATCAAAATTAAGATTTTTTTAAACGTACCGTTTTTTTAGCATAAACTTTTACACAAACAATAATAAGTGTAGCAATCACACAACTTTTGTCATATGTCATCTGTCATCTTAATGAAAATGATGAGTTTAACTTGAGTGTTATTTGATAATCATATAAAGATAATGATTTTTTGACATTATTTTTCAAAATTATGTCTTGGACTTAATTACTGTTTTTATTTTTGTCATCGACTTATGCAATTACGAACAATTCTTGTATGTAGTAATGAGATTTGCTACTTGAATATGTGTATACTTTTATTTCTTTTTTACTATATATGTTATTTTATGAAATATATCATTTAAATGTTCAAAATAATACCCGTATTTTCGTCCGAATTTTTGTAATAGACAACGTATTATACACGTATACGTATATACACGTTTTTTAAAAGTCAACGTTTTTTCAACGAATTTTTTACCGTTTTTTTCATTCATGTTACCGAATAAAACGCGTATGTATTAAACCTCGTTTAATTTCCGTACCGTATTTAACTAACTAGGCAATACACATAGAATTACACCATGCCAGAGTTAAATAGACTAGACCAACCACATCACTTCAAATCTGAAATTCCAGTCCAAATGAAAAGGTTCTAAACCAAGGCTATCCTTAATAATAAGGATGCATCATGCATTAAAAAAAGTGCATTAAGGCTATCCTTAATAATAAGGATGCATCTGTTTGGAACTCAGAAAATGCTAGGAAAATAAAATATAGGGTAAAATTTAGGTATATATAAAGCATTGGTTAAAGCTTAATTTTTTTAGGGATATGTGATCAAAGCCTTTTGAATTGTTATTTCCTATTATGTAAAGAAAAAGAAATCTAAACCTCCGTAAGAACCTTACAGCTTACTTGTTTACTATTGTCTACAACAGAGATCACCGCTGCTGGAACAGATGATAGCGCACCAACTTCTCAGGTATTTCCATGGTAGTAATGCTTTTGCATCCAAACAGCTCCTGAAGCTTAGCATCACACTCAATCACTTCAGAATCTGGAGAGTTCTATGGACCAGACAAGCAAAACAAACAAAAAATGGCAAATAAAGATATTGCTTAAGGACTAACATAGATTCAAATAACTTGTCATATGGATGTGAAAGAAGGGAGAGTGCATGAAAGCCTAATTTCCTAGGTTTATTCATCATGTTATTATTATTTGTGACCTGACTCAAGATATAGCTGAATTATCATGATGACCCCTGCAGTATTAAGAATAGGTGTTGAGCTCCCTTTATGGGTGATCAATGATACACTTCCCAGTTTCTAGGGATGTGTAAATGCATTAATACAATTGAAAGGTGTGGAAAAATTAACGTATGTTTTAAAATCATAGGGGTTAAAGTGTATCTTTAATACTACAAGGGTCTTTGTGGTAATACCCAAACCTCAATGGAGGTCAGAGTTTCTTTACCTCAAGTTAAGAACCATCCCTTTTTTTTCTGTCTAGTCAAGTGCAGACATGCCGTAAATTCTTTAAATAAATGCAATGAGATTCATGTAAATAAAAATTAAGCACGGAATTTAATTATATAACCAGGAGAGTGAGATTTAAAATTGCAATGCATACCTCCTGACGGTTAACCTTTACATAGTCCAAAACACGTTGGAGTGCTTCTGATTGAAGCATCTCTCTTTCTGAAGATCCCAAAAACTTGGCAAGTGCGTCTGATATCATTACAGATTGTGAGCTAGAGTCTTCATTGTCTGGTTTCGAAGTTGTTTCAACCTTCAATCTTTTAGCTTGTTCAGGTTGTCCTAATATTTACATACAATGAACAAGAAAAAAGCCATTTAGCCATGATATTACACTACTGCCACACATCTCTACATGTTTGGAAGGTAATCTACTATGGCATAAGTGTTCTTATTATCTAATTATTAGTATGCTCTGCATTTATTTAGTTATTTCATTTTCGTAGTGTCTTAATCATGAGCTGGGAACAGGTTGGTAAAACTTAGATCACATTTCAGTAAAGTAATTTTGGTGGAAGATAATTCCAGGAAAGGAAGCCATTATACACAATCTAATGTAAAACTTAAGTCACATTTGTTTCCAGTAAAACAGTTTTTTGCAAAAATGTTTTCTAGTAAAGTATTTTTTGGTGCAAGATGTTTTCCAGGAAAGGATGCCGTTCTACACATATCTAATGTTTTGACCCAGAGAGTACAGAACTGTTTCAGAAATATAATTGCCTGTTTTCAAAATGAAAAGTGCTTTACACATAAAGGTAAAGGTTCACAGCGATCTCGGAATATGCTATGGAAAAAAAATATAAGGGAAATTTAACGAAGAAATTGTTGGGAAAAGAGAGGAGATACACAAATTGAACAAGTTTATTTTAATTCTGTTAAAATTCATTTCATTTATTTATATTTCAATGATATACAGATAGAAATCTAAATGTTGATAAAATTTTAAAAGAATTGTCAATTCCAAACTGTGGAACATACGAAAATAAATTTCCTTGTCATATTTTTCTGTTCCCCTAGCATTTTCCTGGACCCAGAAAGTAAAACATATTCCTCCTGCGTTAAACAAAAGAAACTTGTTTTTGAAAATATCTTCCTAGTGCATGACACATCAAAACCAGAATAACATTTTCCCGTAAAATATTTCTTGTAGACAAACGAAGTCTAAGCACAAGTTTTGTAGATAGATAGTATACTTGTAGGATCATGTGGGAGAATATGCTTTGAGAGAAGCTTATTCATCTTGAACATGTCAGTGCTGTCTGTTTCAAAGACTAAACGAAGGGTGTCATTACAGATGATCTTTCTCTTATTCCCAGGATCCTGTAGGTTATGCTTCCTGATGTATGCCCACAGCTGCTTCACAATCTGGTATGGAAAAGGACACATTAGTACTTGTTACTCTGATCAAAGTTTACCTTCAAATGGGGACCTAACCTCAGTTCTAGGGAGTGCCGGATGGCCAACAACAGCCTCAAGTTCTGGTGTTACACTGCAGACTTTGTTCAACCCACCTGCTCCGCCTCTTCTTTTGGTCCCACCAGTAGTAGCAGTACTGAATTCAAATACAGAAGATACTTACTTTACCAATGATCAACAACAACAACATCCACGCCTTAGTCCCAGACGAGTTTGGGATTGACAAATATGAATAGACATGTGAAATCAGAGCTAAAAATAAAAATGATAAAAAATGAGATAAAAAGACAGGATAGGATAAATAATAAAAAAGATAGGATAATGATATATAGATATAAAAAAAGATAAAAAGATAAAGATCATAAGAAAGATAAAAGGATAAAACAATTGAAAAGATTAAATGAGGTCAACCCTCCACCCGAATATACTTTAACTTTACTAATAATCAAATTCAGAAATTCACAATGCCAATTTATTCTTTTATATTATCTTTATCACCTTATCTGCTAGATTTTCTATCAAAAACACTTTTTTAATTCATTAGCATAATTGGCTGCTAGTTTGAAAAACTAATGCAGATTTTACTTTTTTAATCAAATGGTTTCAATGATGGTAAATTATCTTTAAAACCTCGTATACAAAAAAGTAAGATTAATATGTGTTCAGGTATTTCAACAAAGACATCCTTTTCAGCCATTAGTTCATCCAATTCTGAGCCCATATTTATCTTATCAAAGGGCTTTTTAAGACTATAAATTTAGAAAAAGACTTGTTCTGAAAAGCCTAGTGCTGCATAAAATCCCATACCACGCAGTGTCTAAGATAAACTAATGTCCAAAATTTGGGCATATCCTATGTCAGATTGTTGTCAGGATATCCGTAAATATCTGTACGACTATGAAGTGTTTCATATGAGGAAGCAATTGCTATGTAACCTCTGTTTATCGATAACTTGTTCTCTCAAAACTTGTTGCCTAATTGCTACCAAATTCAAAGGAATTTTAGGAAGATAATTCTTTAAAAAAAATGTAATGATAACTCTAGCTCTAATTCTTGCAAGAAAAACATAAAATTGGCTCGGAATCACGCAAAAAAGGAAGATGAAGAAGAAGAAACAACCTTTCCTTGAGAGCAGGAGAGGCGTTTTGTACTGCATTCTGAGCAGCTGTAACCCGAACTACGTTAGGTGATGGAGCAGGCGAAAATTGCTGCTGCATCGTCATTTGCTGCGGAATCTGCGGTAGAGTGTTGTGCTGGTAGTGCAGCTGCTGAAGCGCAAAATGGGGATAGAAGTGTTGCTCCGGTTTGGTGGTTTGGAATTGTTGATGGGCACGGAGGGCAAAAGGGTACATTGACTGCACCGGAGTCTGCAGCTGCGGTTGATTCGGCGCCGGATTTGATCGGAGAAGGTTGATCTGGTCGTTGATGAAGCCAGCTCTGTGAGAGAGGTCCAAGCCGAGCTTAGCTCCGAGCTGCTGAACGACGCCGTTCAGAGAAATGACGGCGTTAGGGTCCAACTGACGGAGAAATGCTTCAACACCTTCGGCTATCTCCTGGTCGGACGCCATGGCTTATAGCTTCATATACAGTATAGTAAACGGAAAGTAACGACCCCGAACAGCTCTTCCTTCCCTTCTCTCTGATCTCTTGTCTCTCTCTCTTCTCTCTTTGTCTTCTGTGGCCAATACTTCTGTCTGTATAATTCACCTAAATGACAGAAAAGCCCTTGAAATTATTTTATTTTGTTCCCTGAGACACTCTGAGAGTAGAAACTAGAAATTGTAGATCACTAGATTGATTCAATAAAATGAGAATGAGAATTATTCAGGTCCTACCAGGCCGGACCACTCCCCTGTCCGGCCACCTCAATTTGAGGTGATTCCTGGTGGTATTTTTTGCTCAAATTTTTTGTGTATGTTCCTCATCAAATCTAATTCATACATACCAAATTTGAGCAAAAAATTCAATCGGGAAGGTCGTCAAATGATTTTTCCAAGTTCACAGCATTTTATATGTATATTCCGGACCAGTTAACTTGCAAAAATCAGTTGACAACCTTCCCGATTGAATTTTTTACTCAAATTTGGTATGGATGAACTAGACTTGATGAGGAACATACACAAAAAATTTGTGAAAAAAATACCACCGGGAATCACCTCAAATTGAGGTGGACGGACGAGCCTCCTGTCCGGCCAGGCCGCACAGGAAAAGGACTCCAATAAAATTACCCCGATCATACTAGCATGATCAGATTTTTAAAATTGATGGAATTTTCTTTTATCATTAAAACAGACTTCTATTCATATCAAAAGAATCAGGATCATTACATCAGATCATTACATCAAACAAAGGGAAAATAAAACTGACACCAATTGAAACTCCAACAACTACGACTGTAACCTTATGGTGAGACTTTAAGACAGTTACGCCTGAGAGAGCAACACGAATCGCTAACCACGTAGTGGGCTTGACACAGCCAAACCTTTTCCCATAGATCCAACCATACCAATGACATAAAGAGAGACAAAAAACTCAAACAAACTGTCAAAACCAACAACAAAAAAGGACACAAGAAAACAAATAACAAACAGATAAAAACTACAAGAAAAACTTTCACGAACTCTAGCACCTTGTACATCCCATGGTGGTGGTTCAGGAGGAGGTCGTACCACTGGTACCATACTAATTGATCCTCCATGACCTTTGCTGCCAAAGACCATACATCAATCCTCCGTCCCTGCATAACCAAACTCATCCATGCTCCGTGCGACCAGAGTAAATGGATAGACGGCGGATCTTCTCCAACGACGATAGCAACGACGCATCCTCGAACCTTGACCACAACGTCGATCTCCTCGAGCCATGACAGCAAATCCGCCCTCCTCCACCGATATCTGCCCTCCGCGTCTGACCTGGACTCCAGCTGAGCACCAGCGAGCAAGGGATAGCAAAGTCGATCTTCGACAAAGTCGAAATCAGAAAAAGACTCCAACGGCCGACATAGTCGAAGCCCTTAAAATTGATGGAATTTTATAAACAAAATTTACAGTATCTTTTCCGGATTTTGGTTACGTGGACCAATTATTATACTCCGTAGAATAATTGGATACTTCGAATTTGATCAAATGATTAAATGATAATTGGATACTTCGAATATATAATATTTTTCTTTGACATACTTCGAATATACGATTGGACAAATAAAGGGGTAGAATCTAGGAATTTGGATTAGACTCGTGGGCTAAATATGAAAAATGAAAATAATTACATTAAAATCGGGAAAAAATTAAGCTACATTGAGCTTCAGCTCATTATAGCCTATACATAGATCCTCCCTCACCAATTATTAAATGATATTAACAAATAAATAAGATATCCACTACAAAAAAAAACAATTTTGGTATGAAGTTGGTACAGATTTTTGGCACGGATTAGCCAAAAGATATAGAGAACATGGCACGGATTTGGCACATATATGTTAATCCGTGCCAATGCCGTTTTGTCATCAACTGATTGGAACGACCTCATGCCAAAAATATGTTATGATCCGTGTCAAACTCAGTCAATTTATATCAAGTTCGTGTCAATATCTGGTTTTCTTGTAGTGATCAATCCAACATATTAATTAGTAGACTAGTATAACATGTACCAAAATTAGATCCCACTGCTATTTGTTGAACAAATAACACATTAGTTTGGAAGAACAAATAACACCTTTATTAAAACACTAACCTAGCTTATATATAAATCATTTAAATACTCATTTAAATCATAAAATCAACACTCTCCTAGTCTCCTAGCTTTTCGAACATGTACAATATCGAAATACATTCAACTATACGGAGTATATATTAAAGGCATCATAAGTGGCTCCGAGTCTCCGAGTATAAAGTTACAATACATGTAAAATCAACACTATACGTTTTGAAACATATAAAACTTATAATTATTCAAATCCTCAACTTTGAAGAAAATGAATTAAATTTAAGCATACAAATCTAAACATGCAATGTTCAATTTAGAATTTTATTTAACAGTGATTTATATGGGCGCAAGAAGTTTTTACCATAATAATAATTTACCATAAAAATACTTTATGTTACAAAGAATTAAATTTCATTTTCCTAAACTTTTAAATAAAAAAATTTAAAATTACATAGTACTCCGTACTATTTTATTGGGAAAGTTCCCGAATAGGACTAAAACAGTTTGAAAATTTCAAAATAGAACTGTCATGATTTTATTACCCAAATATGAGTAATTATTGTCAAGTTTGGAAAATATTGTCATGTTTGAAGTCTGGTACTGCCAAAACATGGCAGTAATTAGCCCTATTTTGGAAATAAAAAGATGTGAGTCATATTTTAGAATTTTCAAATCTTTTTAGTCCTATTTCGGGTGATATTCTCTATTTTATTTAATCACTATCCGCTTCAGCTTGTAATATACACTTATTACACTCTGTCCATCCTAATTAAAAGTTTGTTTGTTTCATTATTTTGATATCTCTTAAAGAAGACAAGAAGTCATGTTTCCCTTTTTTAAATATGATATCAAGTTAGATTACTAATCCTCCACTTACTATCGGTGGGCGTAGCTCAACTGGTAGTGAGAGAGTGCCACAAGGGTTAGGTCCCAGGTTGGAATTCCGGCAACCGCGATAGAGGTTACTATGCTAAAAATGCATAGGGTCTCTGCAAGTGCCGGGGAGGGAGCCCCACTCTCTATCTTTCAGATTGTGATTATAATCCGATTTACATCCTCTCATCGTGCCGCCCAGTCGGTGTTGGGGAGCCCTCAGGGATGGGGTGTCATCCTAATCCTCCACTTACTTTCTTTTTCAAGCCGATTACGATTATAAGGCTAAAGGACAGGGGATGTTCACACTTAAATTGAAATATTTTTGTCTGGTCAAGTGTGGTAATATGTGGTCTCTATATATTTTATAATCATTTAAGTTTGTCTAGTCTGGTCTGATCTAAAAAAGTCTGGTCTAGTTTGAACTATTCTGATTTAATCTGAATTGGGATTAAAATAAATCCAAATAAAATATTAAGTTACTACCCAACTAATGATTTACCCTGGCCATATCTCTACAACATTATAAGAGTGAATATTGTCAAGGACATAATAGTGATAAAAAAAGTGTTGGTGTCTCTTGTTGTACAAAGCCATTGTACATCATGTAAACATTCTTGTACATGTTTATTCAACTTTAACGGTAGGGTAATACAGTGTTATTCATCGTTAGTGCACCTGTAAATATTTTTCCCCATTATTTACTAAACGTTCCCTCTCCCCATAGTAATGGTGATTAATTTTTTTTAATCAATTACGGAGTACTTATTGTCATATAGTTATTCAAAGGGAAGGGAAGCACTTTCATATCCATATTGGAGAGGATTCAGAGGAAGCACCTTCATTCACTTCGTTGTTCTTCCTTCTTATTTTATCTTTCTAATTAGAATATATTTGTGTATATTTTTTCTTGCCCACTCACAGACTCACAGTACACACGGTAAGTACTTTATTAAATGTATTTGAAATACCGAAAAGTCGAAACAATATATTTAGATCGTAACTTATTTCAAAATAAAGAAAAATAATTATTCCCACATAAGAATAATACGTGTTAGAAATGTAAAAATAGGAATTGCTATATAAAATTTCCTAAATAGGAGTCTTTTTTGTATTGGACAAATATTCCCTGCAAAGGTTCCATAATCGTAGCCGCCAATCACCGGATTCCACTGCCACCGCCAATCGCTGGGATTCAGCTGCCAGGATGTCGTCGTTACCATCGGACAGCCCTATGTTTGTTGGAGAACTAGGGGGACAAATTTTGTATATTAAGGGTAATGAAAAATAATGTTCAATTCAATTATATTCAGAAAATATAAAACATGAACTCTTATTTAGGTGAATATGATCATGTTTTATTCATATTTAAGACAATTACTTTAAAGAAAAATTTGATACATTCAATCTCAAGATGTTTTTTAACACATGAGTAACAAATAAGTAGCTTTTTACACATGAGTAACAAATAAGTTGCGGTGAGTCAAATACATGCTTGGGCATTTTAGTAAACGCGCATGACGCGTTAAGAAACTAGTATGACTATATGAGTCAACCAACTACCCCAATTAATCCTTCGTTTAATGCTCGACCGAACTGTATCACTCAATCCCTTATGCCGTTCCCGTCGAATTTCATCAATTTGTGATTAGTTTGGATTTGGGTTTGAGCTAGAAGATATACTAGAATATTGTATCTTCTCACCCGCTAGATTTGGAACTTAGTCATGCCAAGATCCTCATATCAAACAACACAAAGCAGACCAAAATAGAGGAAAAAAGTAATCTCTTATTGTGAATTGCGCATTATTTTCCTAAATTTGAAGTCAACACTAATTCACGAACAAATGAAACAAAAAGAATGTGAAATAATTTGGAAACATAATAACACAATTAGTTATATAGGGAGTATTATTTGTGTGCCATGTTTTGTTAGCATAAGGTGATCTAAGAACTCTGTTAGATAATGATATACGGAGTATTTGTATGCATAAGAGTGAAATATCGATACATTTATGTTTATATAAGTGATTTTTTTTATCATCAAACCAACCGGTTATATTAATATCATTAGAAATCGTATCGTTACAAAAAATCAAATAGACCAACACTGACAACAACTATCCCTAACCAATGGCTAGACTCAGAGGCGATCACCCCTGTA